AAGCGAGGCGGGGAAAGCCTTCCCGGCTCCTCCCAACGCAATTCAGGGACGCCGCGCAAGGCGGACGAGCTTTTCACATACCACCACCCTGCGCGCTTCCCACCGCTGCACAAACCTCTACAACCAAGCTTAAAAGGATAATAAAAAAAATATATATATGATTTTCCCCCCCTCTTTTCTGACAGCAACTGCAGAGTACTTGTGCAAGTGACACTAGCAGGTAGAGAGCGCAGCTCCCTGCAGCGCAGGCCTCCCCGGCACCCCTCTGTCCCGACCCCAGCCACCGGCTGTTGCTTTTGCTCCGCAGCTTATTAGAGAGGCTAAGAGCGCATCTGTTTTCTGGCCGCCCTGGGAGTTGACAGAAAAGGAGATTTTAAAACAGTGCAGAAAGAAGCATTCATCAGTCTCGCGAAACACATTCGGAGGCTAAACACGCCGCTTGGTTCGGGAGGTTTGGTCCCACTTGATGTAGGGCATGCTGACAAGAGACGGAGTAACACCCCAGGCCTTCAGAGCTGTGGTCCCTGTTTGCAGAGTGCATCGTCGCATTTGCTGGATAAGTTCATAAAATAACCCACAATATAAAAATGTCAAAGTCATGTCAATGCTCATTTAAACCTGCTTTGCTTCACTACTAAAATACAAACCCTGCTACTGAGCAGGGCACGGCGCTCGCACAGCTGCTTGTTCCCATGGCTGGAACTTGGGCTGCCATAAAGCTAGCTCCTACTGCTAAAATAATTAGGGACAACTCTCATATATTTGCCATTAACTCTCACCTTTGTAACGAAGGCACTCGAATGTGAAGCAGGGGAGACTGCAGATGACCGGTACGACTGCAGCCCAATTAAAAGCTCTGTTATAATCAAACCTCGACACCTCAATTCAAACCTTGATGGGTACCCAGATGAGCAATACAGAAAAAATCCTGCTAGCAAAACACATTAACATGGAGCTGTTAATCATGCCCATCCCTTGCAGCTGTTTTGCACCAACCAACAGCATAATCTGCTTCCTGACTGTCCCCGGGCTGTAAAAATAACAAAGAGAAATCAGACACCTTGATGTTTCAGCCTCCTCTAAGGAAAAAGGGGTGATCCAAGGAAGCCCAGACTAGTGTCTGTGGAGCTACACTGGGCCAGCTCTAACTCAAACAAGGGACGAAGGGTCTGATGCCAAGTGAAGTGTGGGATGGAGGTCTTCCCTCATCCCGCACCTCTCCCTGGCTGCTCCCCTCCAGTGGTGAGAGAGGGAGGCACCGTGCGAACCGCGTTCTCTGGGGCGACGCTTGCTTCTCGGGTGTCCCGCGCTGCCGAGGGGCTGCGCTCGCCGCTGCACCGAAACCTGGACCTCATCACTGCAAATGCTAATTGCTTTAATTCTCTTCGGGGCCACTTTTACACCCTCTCTCCACCCTTTTCTGAGGCTGGTAGAAGTCAAACGGGAGCTGAAGCGTTACTCCCACAGTGTTTACTTCGCAGGAGCACAAAATTTACTGTTCAGAATTAGAGCATTACTGAACAGCAGCATTTACGTGAGTCCAGGTAGCCTGCAAGCTCCTGTCTGAGACAGTTACAGGTTTAAAAGGTTGTGCTGTCGATTGTTTTCTGGAGTTCAGAAAACATATCCATCTCCCAGAAAAGCTTCAGTCTGCTGGTACCGGCTGTCTAGAGAGGGACAAGGAACAGAGCTTCAGCTGCCACTATCCTGAACACCCGACGCCAGCCAGAGAGGCAGATGTCACTCAGTCAAATCCTCCCGAAAAACTGGGAAGCAGCATCAAAGTAGGGGCACCAACGCTCCCGGTGGAGAAGAATCGTGCAGGATGTATGCCATCGGCACGTCCGCGGGAATGAGGACATGGCGTGTATCAGCAAAGGCAGCGCTGGAATGGGACGGGTGCTACTGAGTGTCGGGCTGGTTTTATGCTGATCCCTCTCCTACTGTAAAGCTCCCTCCACCTGCTCCCTGCCACAGTGTGGCTCTTGAGAGCTTTCTTCACTATGTGACTGCACGGCATCGACCACGGTGGACCAAGGCTCCGTGTACCCCCACAGTATATATCTAACAGTATGCCCCACTCTGAAGGACCTATCTGCAAAACCCCCTCTGGCAGAACTCCCATGTTATAGATGGGGATGCAGAGCACAGAGACCAGATGACTTGTCTGAGGTCCCAGGGGAAGTCTGAGGCCAACCTAGGAGATCTCAGGACTCTGCTCAGACATAGAAGTGTCTTCCCCTTAACCCCAAGGCCTGTCCAATAAGCCCTCTGGAATGAAAATTTCCTTGTCCCTTTTGAATGGGCTTGCCTGCCTAGATTAAATAATATCTATCATCTGATTTGGTATGATTTTTCCCATATGTTCTCCGTCTATTAGAATGTTTGCTATCAAAGGAATCGGCATGTAAAACTAGAACCGTGTGAGCATTAAAGCAACCACATGCAACTGAAACTGCATTTTTGTGGCATAAAGTTTGCCTTTCTATCTGAGTACGTTTCAAGCTCTTATGTTCAGAGTCTAAATAAATCTGAAAATCCCCCCCAAGCCTCCAGCCTCTAAACTCAGCAATCCTCTTGTCCCACACCATGTTCACGCCACTTCCCCCAACCAGCTCTACCTGAGCGGTGAGCTCAGAAGTTGTGAGTGAGGGCTCGCATAGTCTAAGGCAGGACCATGAGCCCCATGGAAAACAAAACTGCAAAGCTACTTGCTCTACAGAGTTATAAACTCTGTCGAGCTCGATTTCTTCCTGGATCCAAACTACTTGCCAGATGGTATGAAAGCTCTGCTGGCTGCAGCCACAAAGCTATGAGACACCACAGTCCAGGGCTCTCCTGCAGTGCTATTGCTTCACAAGGACTTCAGATCTGAAAGCCTCATGTTTTACTCTGATCAATGAAGATACCAAAGAGCCTTCGCAGTGCTGCAGCAGCTAGTGTGGGCTGCAGCATGGAGAAACTGCAGAAGAAATGCCTCTGAATATCAAGGTCCTACAACGGTACTACAGAAGCTCGGCAGTCACCTTCTGCGTGCCTTCCCAAGGTTAAGCGCTATGGAGGAAAGACGGAAGAACTCGAGAAACTGTAACATTCGTGAATCTTTCTTCCTAATGCTCACTGATGTAAAAGCCACAGAATTTAATACTCACTAGAGCCTTTCATTTCAGGGCTCATAGAGTTTACAAGCTACCCTAGAATTTATAATCTAGCTGGGTGCCTCATTTTGGAGTTCACAGAATTTGCAAGCTCCTCCAGCGCAGAATCACCGTAACTGCTCCTTCCTTCTGGTATCTGGGGAGCGAACATGCTCTTGCAGCAATACGGCAGAAGTATTAACGCCCTGGGCGCCATCATTTCAGGGCTCACAGAGTTTACAAGCATCAGTTGGAGACCCGCACAGCTTGTAACTCAAGCGAGACTCGCACATACGTGGTTGCCTGCAAATCATGAAACTGCTATAGGCTACAGCTTACTTTATCAAAAATTGCTTGTGTTTTTTGCAACTTCGGGACTCGTGCAAAGATATTCTGGCTGGTGGAAGAGATCCAAAGGCTTCTGAGGCCTCCTCTAACCACAGGAAATGGCCCGCATGCACGAACCTTGCTTGCTGCTCTGAAGAAATATGAACATCTTCAAGAAGGTCATCAGGAAGCTACTTGATTTCAGCTAAATTAAAAGGAGACTAATGCCACAGGTGCTCACTGGCATTATGAGAAGGATGAGCAGTACTCATGTTTCAGAGAAGACAAGCAGGAAGGTCAGGAAGTACATCCTCTGTTTCCCAGGATTTATTGCGTGAATGAAAACTAGGAGCTACTCTTGACTCGCTAAGAAGCATCAGGTACCAACTACTGCAGCCAGGTGGGAAAACAGCTCGGAGAAATCATCAGTCCAAGCCAGCTGAGTCCAGGCTACGTCCCTCCTGAGACACCCGAGGGCAGAAGGAGCACTTGAGAGGCGAGTAACAAGATACGTACGGTCAGATAAAGCGAGTCAGATGTTTAACCGCCAGCAGACAGAAAACCCTCCCTGCTAGTTTATCTTTATAGACACAGCGGCTCCGGCGATGCAGAACAAGGAATAAAACCCCCCTTCCAGCAGCTTCTCTGCAGCAGAGCGGCGGTGCCGGGCGGAGGAGCTGGAGCACCTGAGCGGCGCGGGCCGCCTCGGCGCGGGTGCTTCAAAGGAGAAGGACCCTCGGGGAGGGCAGAAAGGCGAGGAAGGCTAAAAATAATAAGCGTTATTTTTTTTAAAAATCAATATTGGACCGCTCACCCTGCCAGATGCCCGGTAGCAGCTGCGCCGCAGCGCTTTTAAGATTCTATCATATATCAGCCTCTTATGACATCTTCCAACTGTACGTGTTAAAAATTAGCAGCAATATTGGAGCTGTTGCGACGGAGGCCTAAATCTCCCGGACAGCTGTAATTAGTTCCAGCGGGTGCAGCTGCCTCCCTGCAGCAGCTGGGGG